TGGGGGAGGAACAGTGCTCTTCTCTTGGCTTTTTTTAAAAAAAAAAAAAAATCGGTTATTTTTTTTGTCAAGCTGTGGACGGGGCTGGTGCGTGTGCTGCAGCAGCGCTCGGGACCCCTCACACTCCCCTGTGTGCGGCAGTCGGTAATTGTATGGCAGTGCTCCCCTCCCCCTCCCCGTGCAGCGTGACAAGGGTTTGCATGATCCGCCTGGTTTTTAATGTGCACTCCAATAATCCTCCTAATTTCGGCACTTTTGGTTTTGGGTTTGTTTTTTTTTTTTGGTTTACCGAGTTGTTATATTTTATTCTTTTTTTTTGTCTCGCTTCTTTAAGAGATGCCAGAATAAAATCCAAACAAATCAACCGGAAAAAATTCTGTTCTTTACCCTAGCGTTCCTGCAAAGGAGGAAAAAAAATGCATGGAAAAAATATATTGCCACTAATGCTGACTTTGTCCCTAGAAGCAGAACATGGCTATGCATCAGTGTTACCCTTCGATAGTGACTATTCCAGAAAGAAAACAAAGGCAGGCACCATGGCCAGAAAATCCCAGAATAACAGGTAATAGACACACCGCTTTTTCAGAATGAATCGGCAGCTTTTCCAATGTGCCTAGCTTATGTGCAGTGCATACGTTTATTAAAAATAATAACTAATCCAGTGTCTTAGTTTCCCCCATCCCGGTAGTCGCCATTTTTTTCCCTGGATGGGCTTGGCTCTGTTTTGATCTCTCATATAAACACTGCCACGCGTACACCATCTCCTTAGTACTCACTGCACTTCTAAACCATCCGCCCTCATCTCTCCTTCTGCTCTGCGCTCACCAACAGCAGCTTTTACTGCAGATCCTAACACCGTAATCGCCACCCAGACTTCTCTTTGCATGGCACTAATTTCCCCCCTGGTATTTATTTATAAATCACAGGCAGCGAACCGACCGCCTCCCCCATGGCAGCCAAAGCAGATGCAGCCTCCGGTTGCAGTGCGGCGCTGGGCTCTTGGAGGGGGAGCGTGCTCAGGGCGGTGGGGGGAAACCCACCCGTGCGCTAGAACTTCTCATGTGTAGGTATTAAGCGAGAAGGTGCTAGAGTGAACTTGACCTCTCCGGGGCTTCTGCCGCACCACCAGGTCGCCAGCCCGCCCACCCGCCCGCTGCATGCAGATCCATCAAAGTACTCGGTCGTTATTTGTCACAATTATCATCCGCTTTTTTTGTCGTGGTAGTGGTGGGTTTGTTGTTTTCCCCGCAGCCGCTACCTGTGCTGCGGTGGCATGAGCGGAGGGCTGCTGTGCGCAGGCTCTCTGCAGCTTTGTTTGCTGCTCGGGCCGCGGCTGGGAGGCTGTCTTACAGGGACAGTGCCGGCCCCTGCCTGGGAGCTCCCCTAGTCCTTTGCTCTTCCAGGGCTGCTCCAGAGAGGACCAAGGACTGTGCCCAGCTGGGCTTGCTTTGCCTCAGAGCAGCGATGCTCTCCCCAGCACAGGCTCTACTCTGCACGGTCGTGCTGGATGGTGGCTCTTGTAGAATAGCCTAAAATGAACTCAGTTTGCACGTGACTTGTTTTCCAAACGAGCAGTGAGTCTCGGCAGGCCAGCTCTGCTCTCGCTCCTCCAGTGGGCATCCGGCACAGCAGTGGGCAGCTGGCTCTGCTGGCGCTGGGGAGGCACAGGGCAGAGGGCCAGGGGCTGCTCGTGGGGCACCGGAGGTGCAAACTGAAATCAAAAGCTGACGAGCTCCCTCCTTGAGAAAAAACATGAGCTGGTGAGCGCCCTGCTTGTGCCTACCACGGAGAAGCAGTGTGTCTTGAAGATAACTGAGGGGGAGCAAATTGTTCCCCTATGCCCCTACTTCAGCGGAGGCAACCATTTCAGGGGGTATTAGTTGCAGTAGTCCTACATTTTTTGGTTTCAGTTGGATTCTTTGTCTCATCTTGGAGCATAGAGAGCACGTCAATTTTAAAAAAGAAAGTCATCAGGAGTGGGAGGCGTGTCTTGTTTCCTGAGACACTTTGCTCTGAAGATTTTTAATTGTTTTCTTATAAAGTATGCTCACTGCCTTAAAAAAAAATTCACAGTTAACCTAAACAGGTCTCATAGGGTTTCCAGCTGTAAACTGCTCCTTGGACTGTATGGATTTCTTATTTTTGGTCTCTTGCGTTCAAGAAATCTGCGTTACTTACAGAGCTATTATTCCATCGTTTCCGTTCTTAGGTCTCTTGTCATCTGCTGCAAAATAGTTATTTGTCTGAACTGTAAGCTGCTTTCATGAGTTTTTAGGAGAGGATTTGTAATCTATCAAATACAGCAGAATTAAAAGATTTCTGGTTACAGCTTTGCTAGCTTTATTAAAGCTGAGGCAGACACGTCTGCTTGCAGTTACCTTCTGCATTTTTTCTGTTTGTAGATTTATATTTACCTGTTTAGTCTTTTGCTCTGATTCTCACTCTGTAGCAGTGGCAACCTTCAAAAATGCCACCGTGCAGTACACAATGTATACATTTAATAACGCTTTATTTTCTTCTAGCTGCAATGGTTAGATTAGGGATGAGTTGCTTGTGTTATTGGACAGGATAATGCTTCTCTAGGAATGGTTTCAAGAGTGGCCACCACCAGGATGGTGGTTTGCCTGGTTCGTCACGGACAGTGGGCTTGCTTGCCAGTGTGGGAAACAGGCGCATTGCTTTAATGCAGCACCCTGCTATTTCGGGGAGGGAGGTGCAGCAGCAAGGCTGTGTGGGCACCTCTGCGTTGTACCTACAGACTCTGTACCCACATCTATCAATCGCTGCTCAAGTTTGCCTGTGAGCTTAGATTTGAGGGGGGGAAAATTATGTTTGAACATCCAGTCTAAAAGGGCATAAAGTACACTAGCATCACTGGTTTATTGTTCATTGGAGCTTGTAGGCTGTAGGGTCCAAGCCCCAGACTAGAGTCTGAATTTTTGATAATACAGTTAAATCTTCCTAAGCAACTCAAAGATTAACAGAGGGAGACAACTGGCCAAAGTTCAGAGGATCTGGAGTGGTTGTGCGTGGTGTGAACCACTGAGCAAAGTGTTTGTCCTTATTGTTCCACTTGAACCGTTTTCCGGATGCACTGGGTTTGGAGCATCAGATGCGGGCAGGCGTGATTGCGTACATGTCTGAAATTTATGCCTTATTATTGCATTGTTTTCCCTGCATATAAAAATACATACTTAAGGGTAGAAGAGTAGGAAAGGAGCAGATAACTGCACATTTCAAAACTCCAGGGGCTTTGTTGTTGTTTTCATTACCTATTTTTGTATCCTGCGGCTTGCAGCATCTGACCAGATTAAAATGTGAGGTTTTGTTTTTCCGTGCTTTATGAGCTATACAGATATAAAAGCATGAAAAACATCTTCCTCCTCATTCTTGGAAAATCAGAAAAGAAGGGAGGAGGAGAAAAACTGTCAGATGTGAGGAAGCCTGGTGTGCTGTACCCTTCTTTGTTCTGTATTTTCTCCCCCGTGTTGCCTGCCTGCGGAGGGGAAGAGCATACCCCTTGCAGTACAGGTGTGCTGATCAGCCGCTGCGGGCTCAGGGGCTGGGCAGGGATGGATTACAGCCGCCCTGTTGTTCAGCGAGGGTGCTGATGGATGCCTCCTCCTTCCTTTGCCGAGGTGGTGGTGTGATGTTCATGTAAGAAATCATATCTTGAGACCTCTGTCCTCTTGTCGATGGTTGGTGAGGCCCAGACCCACAGGAGGAGAAGGGGGAGGAAGGCTGCCCGCCCTTTGGATGGGATGCTCGGGTCTGGGCTAAAGGCTTGCCGGCCTCTCAACTGGGATTAAGTGGGAGGTAATTTTGATGGGTTTGGATTAATGCAGGGAAAAATAGCAGCAGAATTGCATTTAATTAACCAAAATCTACAAGCCTTTCATCCACCAGGAATTTAACATTTTTGCTTTGTCCACTGATAGCTGTGGACCAAAATTAGAAGTGGTCGTTAGCAGTTTGTTGCTAAATGATATTCTCAGGGTACTGATAGCAATCCGACACAATTTTTAGCCATTTCTTTTTCACTTCTACATTAAAACTACTTGATTTTATATGTTTTCTTCTCACTCAGTTTCCTGTGATGTGCCCTTTCCCATGCCACACAAACCAAACTACTTTGTTTTCTCTCTCTGGTTTGCTGTTCGTGCCGTGCCCTCGGCTGAGATTCAGACTTGTTCACCTCCAGTAGTTTTGACCAAAATTCTCTGGCAAGTGAAACTGGACACTTGTTTTGCAAACAGGACGGGCGATTGGAGAAAAGCACGGGATTGTCTTTTGGGGAAGGTAAAACTCGATCACATCTTCTTGTTACACTAATGCTTATCAGGTGCTTGACCACAGTATAGTGAATGTCTCCACAGAGTAGTGGTGGTACTTTGTAAAGCAGTGCCATTCGGTCTAATAATTTTTGTTATTGTGTAGCTGGAATTAAAGAAAAGGCATAAAACAAACAGCTGGGTTTAGTTGTGCCTTGGAAATGTTAATAACAAATCTTCAAAAGTCCCCCCAAGTTTGCTGTTTGATCCAAATAAATGGATAGGTAATGTGTGCGATGTGCTGAGGAGAAATACAATGCAAATCTGAAATTCTGAGACGCTTGCTCAGGAAGCAGGGCACTTTGATAGAAAACCACAGTAGCCTGCAGAGAACTGGGCTTGCTTCTGCCCTGGCTGTAATGACACTCACCAGGTGTGTGGTCCTGGGTATGAGGTGCGTGCCCACCCGTGCACGGGGAAGCTCGGGTAGCCGCTTTGCCACAAAAGAGTCAGAAATAAGGTAAAATTAAAACTAAAATCTTAGTGTTAGATGCCAGTCTACTGAGGTCACAGTTACATTTACTTGCAGAGAAAGGAATTGGATGTCGGTGGTGCAGTGTGTTTGGCCTGTTACTTTAGGAGCTGGTTTATTGAAGGAGGGGGATCAAAATAAATGCTGGTTTATAAATATGTCTTCTATATCTATTAATTAATATTTTTGCTCATGTGTTATATAAATAGACTTGTACTTTGTGCTGTGTTCTGGCAAAGGGTTGTATCTAGAAAAAGATGAAAGCTGCATTTGGTGTTTAAAATAAAAACAGATCTTCGTGTCCGAATTCTTCTGTTAATGTTGGCTCACAGTGAGGGTCAAACTGTGGCCTGCAGAGCGAGCCCCTTGCTCTCTGCAGATGTTATTCTGTGCCCACACAAAGCAGCTTAGGGATCAGAGCCTGATTTTTATTTTATTTTTCCTTAATATTTTTCTTTTTTTGTGGGAGGACGAGAATAAAACACTGCAAACCAGGCTGTGTGGACACAGCTCCTCTGCTTTTTTTGCCCGGCTTTCGGAATTCGATAGATCCTTCTGTGTTTGCTCTCCTAAAACTGGTGGCAGAGGGACAGCAATTGATACCACCGCGCTTGTTTTTAAAACTTATGTGTTGTAGTCCCAGTATAATAGATCTTACCAGCTGGTCTGTCACCCCTGAGGAACTGCAGTAGGTCTGTGATGCCTGGGAGTTGCAGTGCTCATGCAATTGAGGAAAACAAATTGCCACCGTATAAGAAGCATGTTCGGACCTTGCCACGGCAAACATGTGGCAGCACGAACTTAAATGAAGTACTGGAGCCAGAGCTCTGCATTGAGGCTGTGCCAGTATGCCTGGTTCCCAGATCCCAGCTGAATCTGCAGGGCTGGTTAAATTTTGCTATGAGGAGAATGCAAAAGTAATTTCTAGGGGATTAATTCCATACAGGCTGTTTCTTTGACAGTCTGTAAGCAATGTGTCCAGTTTAAAACAAATGGAAAAAACCCAACAACCCTGGAGCGGTGAATACTGGGCAGGATGTATGCTTATGCTCAGGTTTAGAGTTGTACCTCTCATCTCTGGTGATTCAGATAGTGGACTGTAATATCTTCAGGCGTGCCCCACGACAGGTTATATATGTGGATAGGGAATTCCCTGGAAGTGAATCGGGATCCTTCCAGCAAAAAGCTGTGTAGCAGTCGCATCCAGACGGGAGGACTGCAGGTGTATGAGCTGCCTGCTCTTACCCAGCGGCATGCTTGGGAGTGGGAACTGGATGCAGACACTTAACGTGTAGCACCTTGTAAAACTTTTTGCTCTGTTTTTTCTTGCTCTTTTGGCCTGGACAAAAGATGAAGTGCAGGTAATGAAGTTCGCACGTGGCCCTCCTAAGTGCCATGCGACCTTAGGTGGAGTTGTGTCCTCTGTACAAGGGTTGTGCAACACCCTGCTAGCCCAGCCTGCACCAGAAAGCCCTGGCACAGACAAGGTGCTTGCCGCTGTTTTAAACACTTTGTTAACTAGCCTGCTTTGCTCTTTATAGGCTTTAAAATGTGTTGGCAACTGGTAGTGTATTGGTCACTTGTGGTCTAGTAGTGGCTCCCAATAGCATTGGGGAAGAAATTTTAGCAGCATTGCCGATAAGTCCCTGCTTTTGTCAGGAGCTGTGCTAGTTTCAAGATGCACTGGCTGGTGGGGCAAATGGATGGAGGAGTAGAGGAACATGTCTTAATGATGAAACAGGCAGCGCACTGTGCATACAGTGACATCTCAGCCCAGTATGCATGTGGGCAGTTCCTACCATAAACTGTTAGAAAGTGGACTTTGGGGAGGACAAGTCTTTTCTTTGTTAGTCTTATAATCTCAATTAGCACCTGTCCTAATTGTTTGGATGTGTCTGCTAAATGTTGCATCAACCAAATGCTCAAATCCAATACCTAGAAGTCTTGTTCAAGGGAGTGAGGGTGGTGGAAGGGGACAGTTCTGGGGTCTGGGGACATAGTACAGCATCTTGCAAAACAGCATCTGTATTTACTTGGCTCCTCCCCCTTCTTTCAAATCTTCTTTTGACAATTTATTCACAAAATTTAACTGCAACTTCATAGCTGGTGAACTGCTCGGCATTTGCTAGAGGGATGTCAGGGCTGTCTCAGCAGCAGCATTGCTGGTCTCCTTCTGAATCTGTGATTTTGCTGGTGACTTTTTTATTGTTGGTTTTTCCCTTTCAATTTTATCTGAACCTTTTACTGACACCTTTCCTTCATCACTGCTACTCCTAACTCCCCCAGGTTTCTCCTGGAGATACAGAAGCCAATATAGTGAACTTAAGCTAAACACCAAAATCTTCCTTCTCTTGCAGCTGCTTTTGAAGGGCTCCACAGACCTTTTGTCTGAAAACCACAGTCATACATCTTTCCCTTTTACAGAAATATGTATATCCATGTATCTTCTTAGGCCTGGCCTCCAGCTTACCTTTTATTGAAGTAATAAAAGACTCCATTTTGAAACAGAGGTAGTGCTTGGGGTACTGGTTTGTTTTGAGACCAGGTCTTATGGTTTTTCCCTCACTTCAGGTTGCATGAAGAACAGAAGGAGCTGTATATTCTTGCAATATACTCTGCTATAGACAGTGAAAGAGAGAATGAACAATACTTAGAGAGAGGTTCATCTCTTCTGAAAACAAACCCAACAAAAAAAAATAAACCATCATGCTTATGATAGGGTATTTAGCCTGTTCTGTAGATGGAGCAACTGCCAGGTAAATGTCAAAACTCTCAGTTTTGGTTCCTGGATAGGGCCTGATAGTCCAGGCATTAGTCAACCTCCTGACATCTCCCTAAATGTGTGGCTGGTGCCTGTGTTTGCACACATCGATTAGGCTTCTGCGTCCCAAAGAGCTGTGCAAGGAGGCACATTTTCGCTACTGCTCCATTTGGTAGCTGCCATAACCGGGCAGGCAGCTGTGCCCCCCTAAAGCTGGTCTGGCAGCATGTATCCCAGGTGAACCAGGGTCACCCTTCATGAGCCAGAGGTGCCTTGTAGGCATGGCACATGCAGAAGCACTTCCAGGTACTTGTGGCATCCTCTCTTAACCCAGCAAAATACTCTATGCAGGCTGAATTTCTTGGCCAGTGTTTCTTCTGCCGGTGCAGCTGTCACCATGGATGCTCACCAGAGCTGGGTGTGAGCTCTGCTACAGCAGGCAGGTCGGAATTGGCTCATTAGAGTGATCATGTTCATCTTGTGTATAATTGCCAAAAATGTTAGGGAGGTCATGCCATAGGGTTGAGTCAAGGCCAGCCTGTATTTTCTCTCTCCCAGGCTCCCCTATGAACAGTGTCTCTGTGCTTTTGACAGGCCCATTGGGGGTGTTTGGGGAGAATGGTTCCTCCTGAACTTACATTTTCTGTGTATCTTCATAAACGTTGGTGGATTTGGCATGGGGTTTGTCACTTTTCATGGAGAAAAGGTTTGAGCTATCTCTGTGTGTGTAGGAGTAGAAAATAAAAATAATATTCCCTTATTATGGTCAAATGGCAAAGGCAGTATATGACAGCAAACCCATCCCACCTTGACCTATTAATGTAGCACAGAATGTGTGTAAAATACTTGCAGTGTTGCTGCATTGGTCAGGAGCACTTACATGGCAGGGTAGGAACACATACGTTACCTGATGGTGGCTCACTTGATGCAACAAGTTAAAAAAAAAAACTAAATTCATAGGCTCTTCAGAAACAGATACCAGGTAATGGCTGACATAGCTGATGTCTTGGTAACAATACTGGGATGCTTTCCAGTGAAAATGGATTAACATCAGTGCTGAACCTTGTACGCGTTTGAGTTTTCTTCTAGCTGCAGAGGGGCAGTTTGCTTAATGCCTTGCAGGATCAGGCACGGCATCGGGCTGAAATAAACTGCTTGTGGATTTGCTCATTGGTTATTTCTTTGCATGAGCTTTGCTTTCTTTTTTCCCCTCTCTGTGGCTGGAGAGATGCTTTCATCATCAGTAACACTGAAGTATGCCGCAGCATCCAGCTGCATGAACGTGTGCGGGGAGAGGCAGAACAGCTTGCCACTGGGCAGATCGTGCATTTGTGCAGGAAGAATTTCTCCTCCTGGGATGTCTCTGCTCATTCGACGGACTGTGCACCTACACCTCCACAAAGCCGTTTCGGTCAGCACATCGTGCCCAGATGCAGGCAGGGGTTACAACACGTTGTAGGAGAGCTGCTTTGACGTAATCTGCCAGCCGTAAAAGCTGCCACCGCCTTTCTATCTTTTGATCCTTAAGTACTGGAAATGTTTTTAGTTGGACGAAACTAAAGGTCCGGAAAGTTGCTGGTTTTGAAGTGGCGACAATAACTTCATTTTAGGAATGTTTTTAATCTGAGTTGTATAAATAAATAAATGTAATATTTCCAGCTGAATCAATTAAAAAAAAAATCCTCCAAGAATTTAGGGCTGCCTTCTAATGGCAAAAAAACCTGAGGCATTGGTTGGGGAAAAAAAAAATATGTAATCCTACTAGATTGGAAGAGAATAGCACACTTGATGTGGTCAGTTAAAGGACTGTGATTTTTCCCTCCTCCCCCCATTTGTAGACTCAGAAGAATTGAGAGGATTCCTCTTTTTTACCATTAAGATGTGAAGAGCAGTGGTTAGCTGCTGATTTTTCTTTCTGCTTCTGCTGGCTTTTTGGGTGCTTTTTGCTCTCACTTTTTACCATGTAGATCTTCTAACACCTTCTGCCCCCTCCTAATTTTTCTTCACAGATAAAAATCCCGTGGGCTGTTTTTATTACTAACCTGCTCAGGTTTTTTTATGTCCAATTCTGTCTCTGAATCTACTGAACACTAATAAATGTAAATTTATTATAATTCCCCCCTAAACCCACGGTTTACTCATGGAAATTAAGTTGATACCTTGAAGTATCTAAGGGATGTAAAAGTGAACCAATTTAACAGTGAAGCTGTTTCATAATCCATATAAATACATGTTTTAGAGAGCTCTTTTGCAAATTATGCAGATGTTGGCTTTTAAATATTCTAAGTCTTGGTATTTATCCTTTTCTCTAATATTTCTTTTCTCTTTTTAATAGGTCATCACACAACGAACTAGAAAAACATAGGTAAGTCTTGAGAAAAAAGCAAATTAAAAGATGTATGGCTGACATGAGAATTACCATGCTTATTGAATAATATTTTGCTGAAATTGTTTTGATTCTGCACTGAACAGTTTATTAAGTTGTGGTTTTTCTTATCAACTAAAACCTAATAGGTATAATATTATTTGGCTTTTTTTCTGTTGTTTGGTATGCTGTTTTTGAAACACTCCTGATAATTAGCTTTGGACTGATTAATGCTGTAACCAGTTAACTGTACTGTTACTAATAAAGAATCTGATTGCAGCAACTGTTTGCTAGAGGTATTAAATGCTATAAATACAATCAAACTATTTAGTGATTAACGTGGGTGATTTTTCGGGTAACAATATGTCACACAGGGTTATTCTATGTTTTTTTTAAAGTATGCCTAAAGTGCGGTTAATTTTCATCTTGCATGTAAGTACTTACAGATACGTTTTTCCCTCCGTCTGCTTCCTTGCTGGTACGTGTCCTGTCCAAAGAACTGTGTGTGAGCTAGAAATCAGCAACTCCAGAGCTGCAGCCCTGGTTCTGTGTATCCAGCACTGTGAAAAGCTGCACTTAGTACCAAGAACATTCATTAGACCCTGAAGACCCATTTTTAAAGAAATACTGTTTGCACAGCTTTGGAGGCAGTGTTTACTGTCTAGTGTGTCTTGTCAGAGTTGGTTTGCAGATGGGCTTTTTAGCTGTAGGAAGTCTCGTGGGGTGCGCTGCTCTCAAGGTGCACGTAGAGAGCTGCCAAGTGCAGAAGGTGTCTGTCTTGACACGGGCTTTCAGTTCCCTGGGTGAGCAGCGCCGTGGCACCCTCACTGAAGGATCACTGCCTTTCACTTACCATTCAGGCAGCAGGACAAACTCTTTTGGGTAGTTTTTTGTTCTTTTTTTTGTGTAGCTTGTGGTCTTTCAGGTTTCAGGCATCCAAAGAGAGCAAGGAGTGTATGTGTGAATATGACTTAAACCTATTTGCATGCTTCTAAGTACGTGAAACGTGGTTGATGGCACAAGATTGAACTCACTGGGGAGTTTTTTTGTGTGTTGTTCTGTGGCCACAGTTATGTAGCAGCTAGACCATCACTTCCCTTGCATGCTTACATGCTTTCCTGTAGTTTAATTGTAACATGAGTAAACTATAGCCCTGCCTAATAGCCACGTGGTCATCCCAGAGATGAGAGGAACTGGGGAAGGCTCAAGCTCACAAGTGCAGGCCTGGGCTGCAGAGTGCTGTGCATTGGCTAAGGCACTGAAATCAGCTGGCAGAAGTTCTGCTGACAGTCTTCAGGAAAACAACTTCATGCAAAATTCTCTCCTTTGGTTGCACTTCTTTAAAAGAAAAAAAAAAAAAAATCTTTGGCCCCAACTGTGCTGCTTCCTCACTCTCATTTTTTTCCATCCTCTTTTTAGATAATCTGTTCTACTTCTTCCCGTTCTCCTGCTCCATCATTACTGACTTGTTATCATCCAAACTGCATATTCCCTCTTTTTTTATTTCCAGTCATTTTTATAACATGAGCATGGAGTTGCCTCTTCTTCCCTCTGCTCTGCCTTAACATGTTTAAGCAGCACAGTAAATGAGGCACAGCAGCATTTGCAGCAGATGCAGGGGCAGAAGAAGGATCTATTAATTGTTAAGCTCTGTTCTCACTTTCAGTTCTGTGTTGTATCTTTGTAGTAGCTGGGCCATATAGTATTTGCCTTGCTATCTTTTCTTTTTCTGCCATCTCAAGGTCAAAATAGGTAAACTGCAAGGTATGTCTTGTGATTATGCAACTAATATTTGTAACTGCTGCGGCTTGCTGTACCTCCTACAGTTACACTATACTTGAAGCCAGATTTTTATTATTCCTGGTGAGAACCTGTGAATTAGTGCAAGATCTTGGTATGTGCAAACGGGTGTTCACAAAAGCAGATGAGGCATATACAGTTTTAGTTACCTAATGTATTGGTGTGAAGGACTCTTGTAATTTTAAATTTTTTTAACAACCCCATCCTCCACCTTTCTGTGGGTGTATGATAATACCGATTGTACTGTTTTTCACTGTTTTACCAAAATTGCATTAAAATCCATCAAGCATCTTGCAAAGTTTAATGGAAGATTCATAGCCATAACGTGTCCCTTGCAGCAGAGCATGTCCTCTTCCTCCGGCGCAGCCCTGCCTTGCCAGCTGTGAAGCACTGGATGTTGATTTTGGAGGTGTATCCTTTCCAGGACCAGCGCCTTTGACTCACTACAGCCACGATGCTTCTGGCTGAGGCACACTTGGTTATCTCACAGAAGCTCGTCAAGGAGGAAGAGAGGAGATGGCTGCTCATATCCTCCTCCTTGCCCAGTCCCTCACGTGGTGTCTGTGGGCTGGACTGAGCATGGGAGGGCAGGGAAATGGCTTCCACATTTACAGGGCCTCTGTGTCCTGGGTGAGGGTGGGCAGAGCTGCCACTAACAAGAAAGCCATGGTAGCTGTGTACTGGTTCACGGTGCTATTTCGGGTTCTACATTGGTGTTGCACGTAAGAGGTTTTATCTCTGGTTTTGACATCAGTGGGAATGGCAGTGGTTGATCTCTCTGTGTGTGCAGACTCATCTGTTTGGCACCACTACTTTAATTTGCATTTTTTGCTGCTGGGTCTCTTTTCTGTATGCTCTTGAGGGGATGCTCAGAGGAAGGCAAATGGAAGCAGAGACATAATTCCAACAAAAACTCTCATTATATAATGGAATTTAGACCACAGTTATGGTAAAGTGTTTGTCAGCAATTCATACATAAAATTCCTTTTTCTCTGTTTTAAGTCTCCCTAGAATACCCTGCTCAGAACTTCAGTGTGTGTTCATTATAGTGAAACTCTGTAAGGACTCATCCCTCTAATGGCAGTCCTGTTTTGGTCCTGTGATTAAGGTTTGAGTCTCAGAGCCAAGAAAGAGGAAACCCCCTGAACAAAAAGTAGGAAGGCAGGCAATCTTCTGTCCTCAGGACAGATGAGGTTCTAGAAGATATCTTAATAATTACGGACAGGTCAGTCAGAAAGGTACTCGGATGTAACTAGTTCCTGACGACATACATATGCATGTATATTCATGTATATATTTTTTGTTACTGTTTCCAGCCAGACCATGTATTGGTAGGGTTTCACAGAGCAATGTAAATAGCAGGGCATTGGTAATCATGACTTTTTGAATTGGCCTAACCTGACAGCTGTACAGAGGAATTCAACTTTCACAGTGTAAAAAAAAGGAATCCATGAGAGACTCAAGCTTCTTAAAAGACACAGCATAATATCTTTTATTTGCATCAGTTTATTCTAGTTCTGCATTACAATGTAAAAGCCAAGGTGTGAAGACTGTACTGCGATCTTCACACTGCTCTGTGAAGGCAGTGAGTCATCTGCCCTCTGCTACTCATGTGTGGGCTTGTCCCCTCAGCTTGCGCAGGACTGTGGGAGGAAGTGACACCTCCCTGCCGTGGTCCATCCTTTTTTATCAGAAGCAGATGGAGCCCTGACAAGGGATACTGGGACTGACCCACCAGGGCACCTTTGGTGACAGTCATTTCACTCCTGCCTGGCCACGAGGACCTCTGATGCAGGAGGACTTCAAGATCTTTTCATTTCTGTGGCCAAGTCTTTGAAAATAGCTTGTGAAACGGAATGATTTTTAAAGAATAGCTTTTAAGAATTGGCGAGGAAATTAATAAAAGTGTGCCTTGAAATTGGCAAGCCACCTGCTGCTGTCCCCAAGCTGGCACCATGTGAGCTGAACAAGTGCCTTGGGTTGGGGACCCAAGATGGATGGTTATCTCCTGCCTCTGTCAAACCATTTGTATTATTTTCTGTGGGAGTTTTTTGTTGTTGTTTTTGTAGTCGAGAAGGAGGCAAGGGGCAGATCAGCAGGGGTAAAGTTGTCTTGCCTGCATTCCACAAAGTAGTAAACTCCTGACAAGCAGTGGTAGTATAATTAGAAGAGGGAGCTGATTAATGCCTTTGGGCAGGATGGACCGGCGATCTTGCGCACCGCAGCGCTCAGCAGTGTAGCATCTGAGTTGCAAGCGATCTGTTCGGAGGAGTCGACAGATCCTGTCCTAGGTCCCTAGGCATAGGTTTGACAAAAGCTGGTGAGCTGAGCCGGTTGGAGGTAAAAAACAGGCATTGCTTTTGGGAGAACGGTTCTCTCTTGTTCAGTGCTCACTAGTTTGTATTGCAGTGAGCAGTGTGTGCTGTGGAGATGGCCTGGATCAGCTGAGTGGGACAGCCCTGAATTTTCAGAAGGTCAAGACCAGGATGAGGAATACATGAGAGCCTAATGTATGCATTGTTTACAGTGCTGATCAGGGGGAGACTGAAAGTGTTCCTGTGCATGTAGAAGGTAGTGCTGTCCCCAAGTTTGGGTAGTGCTTTGTGTAATCCTTAAACCTAAATTCATGCCAGAAAAAGGTTGTTATATTGCATCATCATGTGTATGAAGTAGATATCTGTACATAAATGTCAGTTGTGATGAAAAATAAATTTGATGGAAGTGTTATGATGTACAACGTTAGCTGATTAAGTAGATGGAGTAGGTGCCTCTGAAGTTAAGTTCTAACTGGTAGTCAGTTTTCTCATGAAAAAAGTGCAGATGCCAGGAGCACAGTTAAATTCATTGGTACATTAATTTCATCCACCAGAGTTGCTTGGAGTTTAAAGTTTATGTAGGCTGAGAGAGTGCATAGATGGATCTCTTGAAATTCGCTGTGTGGTTCTTCATGTTACTAAATTCCAGCATTAATGAAAAGCAGGTAATCACCAATTGCTGATAAACTCGGAAGTTTTGAAACAGAAGTAAAAGGTCATTGAAATAATGGCATACCAAAACAATGCTTAATGTTTATTTTTATTATGGGCTGCCTTTTAATTGCAGATTACCGTAGCAGTTAGTACTGTTATGCAGCATAAAGATAAAACTGCATTGATCCATCACATTGAATGGCTACGGTGCCACCACTAGCTGAGGAAACC